TTCGGATTGAACGCAGCGAAGAACCTCGAAGTCAAGTTGAACTTGCTGGCCACGCTGAGGCAAGTATCTCCGCTCCTCACTCCATGAACGAACTTGCATTGTAGTCCGGTGGGAATCGGCGTATCTATTTTCGATCCACATCCAAAGTTAAAATGTGAGCTCATACGCGAGTAATAAGCCGCATGTCGAAAAAAAAATTATTAACAGGAAATTATTTGTTCTAACTAGCGGCCTAGCGGATGACATTGACTACTCGATTCGTCTGCTAAGAAAAACCCTGAAGACCACGTTCATACACCAAGATGTTCATGCTTGAGAGAATGCGAGTCGTGCATGGTGCTTATTTTTCATTATATGGGATCATATACGAAATCCCAAGAAGTCTCAATCACCACTTTTCAGAATCCTTTCGGCGATAGAAACAGTGAAGCAAAGAGAGCAACAAGAGGAGGTTGAAGAGCATGGTCATTTTGCTGCTGATTCTTGCCATGTTGGCTTAAATGATTCTGCCTTCTCAAATTTCTTTGGATTGAAAAGCTATGCAGAAGACCATTCTTTTTATCAACGATATTTCGTGAGGGCGTTTCAATGTGGTGCACAATGCAGTCCTGAAAGTGGAGTTGCAGAAGGAATATGCCTGGCTAAATAGGACGATGCCCTAGATGATATCAAGGTCATTGTCTAATATTGTCAAGAAATCCTACGTATAGTACTTAGGGTATTACCCCGTTGAATTAACCATTTAATCTGGTATCACTTTGGATATGTAGTAGAAGTTCGATTCTTATCTTTGGGAAGATCACCAAGATTGAGCTTCTTTTCTCAGCTGCAAAACTACACCTCCAGAGCCACTCAACATTGACAAGAACTATTTGACCAAAAAAAGTGTACACAAAAAAAAAATCGACTAAATTTTACTATCCCCATATTGCAAAGCCATTCTCCAGCAAAGAGCGCATCGCAATTGAGGTTTGGATCAGATATGCCGAAGCTTTCCAGAGTCAAGTTCAATATGTGTGCCTTGCCGAGACAAGGGTCTCCGCTCCTCGCTCCCTAAACAGACTTGCATTTTAGTCGGACGGACACCAGTGTATCCATTTCAGTTCATATGAGAAGTAGATATATGAGGGTGCATAATATGTGATGCTATCAACAAACGCGACACTGAAGGAAAAATTTACATTTCAAAACATCACCAACCACTAATTAGACGACTCTGTCTGCTAAAAAAACCCAACATGTTATGCTGGTTGTGAACAGTATACATGCTTGAAATAACGACATGTTCCATTTGGATTTTGTGAACCGTATATGCATGAGAAATGAAACCGCAACATGTTCCATTTGGAGTTGGATAAAACCAAATTGCGTTCATTGCTTCGTTCGGATTTAGTTGCTTTTGAAATTAAGGGAACTCGAAACACTTGGCTTGAGAGTATCCTCTGGGCTATAGAAACAGTGAAGCAGAGAGAGAGAGCACCAAAAAGAGGTTGAAGAAATTTGAGTATTCTTCGCTTCTGATTCGAGTCGTCTTGGCTTAAAGCTTCTTTTTTTTTTTATTATCTTTCTTTGTGTTGGGAGCACGTGGCAAAAGTCTGATATCTTCATTCGGGGATATCGCCAAGAAGAAGCATAAGTTCGAGCCCGTTAACATATGCGGTTGAGCCCACATTCACTCAAAAGCTTAAATCAATATGTTATGCGCCAATTATAATATATTAACTGTTTTACACCACACCAATTTTTTTAAAGTAAGAATTTTTTCTAATACAACTCACACATGCAACTCAATAATCTCCCTTTTACGTGTGAGCTCAGTATTAGGTTTGGCTCCCCTTTAATTCACGTATTCTTCTGCATCAAGATATCTCGAGTTGAATCTATGTTCGTCACCAGATTTCATCCTTGAGATATTCACCCAACTCTAATATCAATTGTTGAAAACTCGCAACAGAAGCTCGATTCTTTTATCCAGAGAGATCGCTAAGAGGAAGCCGTCGCTAGATTTCATCCTTGAGATATTCACCCGGCTCTGATATCAATTGTTGGAAACTCGCAACAGAAGCTCGATTCTTTTATCCAAAGAGATCGCTAAGAGGAAGTCCAAGTCAATCAACATATTTAGTTGAACCTATCTTCACTCAAAAGCTTAAACCAATGAGTTATGGATCAATTAGGATACACCACACTAATTCTCGAACATGAGATTTTTATCTAACATGTGCAACTCAACTCTTTGAATTGAAGAATTTTGCACAAGAGCACGTTCTCTCTCAATCACAATGCATCCTTTATATAGTAACAAACCCAACCCAACCCAAGCAAGACAAATTTAACAAGAGAAAGACTTAATTAGCGACATTTCACGCCTGGGTCTTGATGTGGTTTACAATATAGTTCTTCATGGAGTTGCAAAGGTCTAGTGATGTGGGGCACTTCAAAATTTCATCTACATTTTCTATTTGGAAAATTCAAAATGTCAAGATTTTTTACCTACAATTTCTCTGGTCCCCTAAGGTTTTTTCCTAATTTTGGTCCACCTTTTTACCCCGTTGATCGGCTCTGAGACCATACTTAAGAGAGAGAGAGAGAGAGAATTCAAAATGTAGAAAACACTGTATAATAAGCACTATTCTCAGAAGGGAGAATACTCATCTCCTTTCCTCAACATTAATGGCAATTGGTAAATTCCCAATCTCTTCTTCACTTCCAAGCTCGGAAACTTCATGGAAGCAAAGAGAAAAAAAGGCTTTAGAAATCTATAGCCTTGGTGCAAAGCCACTGACCAACAAAGAGCGCATCGCAATTGAGGTTCGGATTGAACGAGCCGAAGGCTTCCGGAGTCAAGTTGAACATGTTCACCACGCTGAGACAATTATCTCTGCTCTTCACTCCATAAACCGACTCGCATTTTAGTCCGATGGACACCGACACCGACACCGGCACCGGCGTTTCTATTTTCAATCCACATCCAAAGTCAAAATGTGAGTGCACAAGCTAGTCATAGACATCAAAATTCTTCTATCTTTTGTCAACACGTTTGGTCGCTAAAATCAACTCAAAACTTACGGCTTTTCAGTATCCTTTCGGCGGTGGAAACAGTGCAGCAAAGAGAGAGCACCAAGAAGAGGTTGAAGAGCATGGTCATTTCGCTGCTGATTCTAGCCATGTTGACCAAATTGATTCTATAATTTTTCTGAACTGTCTTTCGATTGTAGAGCTACGCAAAAGACCATGTCTTCTCTCAATGGGCACACCATTCTTTTTATGGTGACAAACCCTGGTCATGCATAATAATGTCCGAAGAGGAGAAACTTAAATTAATCAACCACGTTTCATGCCGGCATTCCAATGGGGTGCACAATGTAGTCCTGAAGTGGAGTTGCATTAGTGTCTCTCGGAGTATGTCCGACTAAGTAAGTAGGACAATAATCTAGATGATATCAAGGTCATTGTTTGATTAATGTGTATTCAAAACAAGAAGGTTTACTTAAGAGGACTAGACTTTGTGACAACTATATATATTGTTACAACTAACGCGAAAGCGCGAACAAACAAAATGACTAGAGCAAACGATAAAGTTGCGGAAATGAAACCTGAACACAACGAATTTATGTGGTTTGGAGGTGGGCCTGCTCCGTGGAGAGAGATTGACAAGATAGTTTTATGATAATCGATAAATATGAGATTACAATCGTTCAATCATATTCACTCATAAGGTGTTTTCGAGTTACATACTATTCAAGAAGCTTGCATCTTGTCTAAAATTGTTTAAATTTATGTCTTTTAATAAGCATCCGCCTTACAAGTGGAAAATGGAATTAGAAATATTTCGTTCATGCTACCTTTGGCATACGAACGTGAAAAAAAAAAAAGGGGAATTGAATTAAAGAAAAAGAGAAGAAAATCACTTTGTTTGAAAGGATGAGATTTGTACTACACATCCACATAAGAAAAAACCTATTATGACTAAAGAACAAGAGCGCTTGAATGGTCGTGCTAGAATGCTCAACATTTCACCCCCTCTCTGCAGCGCTCAACCTTTGCACCTTTCTGCAATGTTCAACCTTTGCACCTCTCTTTTGCGCTCAACGTTTGCAGTGCACCGGAGTGAAGTGCTCGACCTTCGCACCTCTCTGCAATGCTCATTCTCTCTGCACCTCGCCGTCACGCTCAACCGTCACAATGAGCTGGAGTGGAGTGCTTAATTTTCACACCTTTCTACTGCACTCAACCTTCGCAAGGAACTAGAGCCAAAGCTTTGAAACCTCTCCCTCGAGCGCATGCGGTAGGAGTTTCGTAAAATGACGACAGATGAAGCCTCTTAGAGATGGAGTTTTCATGGTGATCCTTACAGAGCCTTATGGGTTAGATGTTTTCATGGCTTTTCTTTAATTGAGATTTCTCACTCTAAAACGAAAAAAACTGGGAAAAAGTAGAACGAAGAGGAACAGAGCATTGCAAAGAAACGTAAGTGAGGGGAGAAAGTCAGACAAGTGAGTTGGTGGGGCATTTCGATTTTAAAAGGCTTGCAAAAGTCAATGGCGTCATTAACCTATCATATGCCAACATACTTCAAATTTGTTTTTATTAAATCCCAAATTGCTTGTCGCGCGTCAATTTCTAATCGGACCTGACCAGATGAATGAGTCACGGCTGCACCTAACGTTGTAGTATGATACCACCGTAAAGAGGGGGTATGTTCGGATTCGGTAACCTTTTTCCTACTTTGTGCTGACACAAAAATAGCACACGAACGCCGGTTTAGGACCTCAGCTAACAGAGACACAAAGCAGAGTCTCATCCTCTTCATTCTGGTGCCATTCCCTATTCGCCTTACGTACTGGGGGAGCAGCTAATTCTTGTTTTCCCTTCTCACTGGATTGATCAATTGGGAATACATGAGCAGATGCTGCAGATTCAGTACACGACTCACCACTCGACGCAAACTTGGAAGCTTAGTAATTGGAACTCTGGCAAATGCATTGCCAATAACAGTATGTCAAAGAAAAATTATCCGCCTTTTGAATACTTAGTTCAGCAGCGACAGACCGGGACAATTGGTCACAAAGAACAATGAGTGCGTCAACAGACTCGAAGGCAACTAAACCGGACAATTTCACGTATGATAAGGAGGAAACCCACGTTATCTACAAGCACAGAGTATCTTGCACCTCAAATCACAGAAAATTAACCTCGCTTTTTTTACAAATGAAGTTGTCGTTTCCTGCACAATTCCTCGGAGACATCTTTCACATTACACTTGAAAAGAAGGGGTGCGGGCCAAAAATGAACCCAACAAAGTACGGTAAATTTTTAATCAACCCTGACTAAATCACTCGGTAAACAAACCTTACACCGAGTCCACCCCTTCCACCTGCTGTCGAGCAAGATATCTTTCCCTTCTCTCCTTCTACAAACATCAGAAAATATATGACCATTAGATGGCTCAGAGCAATTACGAAATGAGCTTTGGTCGAATGTCCTGATTGACTCACCCATTCATCAATGACAAGCCCTTCTCCGATGATCTTTGGCCCCGCATCTTCTGGAGGTTTCTTCCGTGCCTCCACGGCAGCATCAGCTTCGGCCAACTGGCGCTTCAGCTTTTCTAGAGCCTAACAATAAACCAAGAGAAAATGTCCACAAATCTTCAAAATGGCATAGTTCAAGAATGTAATACACATAGTTCACATGAAAACGGTGTTCATACAAAACTACATTTAAGAAGCACAAACAGTGCTACATACTGGACAAGGACGCTCGGGGTCTAGAAAAATAACCCGCAGGATCCTCTCTACTACCACTTGATCCTTCTGCTCATCAAACTGCATGAGAGCAAACGTCAAAATTACATGAGTAAGATGTTCAAGCCAAAAGCAAGCCTAAGCACATCTTTGCACAGACTGAGTGAAAATAGAATAGGGTTGGAATTCAGAGCAATCGTGAATCTCGCATTCAACAAAGGCAGCTAGATGACTTCCATTTTAACTTAATGACAATTGATTAAATTTCCTGGACAAGAAATGATTGAACAAGATTCAAGCAAGTAGAAAAGCTACAAGCCTATGACACAGAGCATTAAAAAATTGGTCATCTAAGTTAGTTTATCAAGAATGGACAGTGTACATCTCAAATTAGGAAATGCAATAACATCTTGATGGCAGGACATGATCAAGACAGTCGTTGTACCCACCAGTTCAGGTACATAATCCATCATTCCTTTCACCTTCAGACACATGATCTTGAACTTGACACTGCTCTTCTGATTGATCGGCTTTTCATTGTTCTCTGGATGCTCCACAAACTTGAACACTAAAACAACACCATACACATCTAAGATCAACACAAAAAACATTGTCTGAACCTAATCTGTACATGTGCACATACAACAGATAAGCAAAAAAAACAGCTTGTTCAACATAACCATTTTCTTACCTGTTGCTATGATACTTTCACCAGGAGCAAGGATCGCCCCAGGAGGACGCATGAAACAGCTTTTAGGTGCAGTTGTTTGAAACTACAGGAAAATAAAACAAAAGAATAACTGAAGTCCCTTGCACAGATATTTATCCAAATACAGGGAAAAATGCATAGAAGCATTCTCAAAGTATACAAAAGAGCCAAAAAAACTCCATTTTTCAGATCAGAACATATTGTCATGTTTATGCACATATGTCCATGGGTCACAACGGAGACACATATGCATAGATACGCACTAGAGAATATACACAAAGACTCAAATGAACGTCAATAGTATAAAAGCTGTAGGTAGAACCTTGAAAGCCACATGAGATTTGCTGATGTTTTTAATCTTGATAGCACTCCTAACTTGCTTGCCAGGTTCATCTACACAAAAGATGCAGAATAATAGTGGATAATCATGCGAAGAATGACTAACCAATGAGGAAATGTCAAGCATGTTATTCAACTGTTTCAGCAGTCATGAGAGAGAGAGCAAAAAAGAGGAAGGACACTGCTCGCTTGGTTGACTGGAACATAGAGCGACAACCAAGGGACCTCAAAACAAGCTTTTCGTTAAGTAATAACTATCAAGTTAAGATGTTGGTGTTTGCAGCCATAAAATGTGCTAATGAATAAAAAGCTTGTATTATTACAAGGCTGCCTCATTGATTCTTCTGCGAGGTTCCCAATCAAGAATGGATAATGCATAGAGCAGCCTTTGTTCTGTTCAAAGTGCTTACTGATAGAGCGCAATATAGCTTTCATCCATCAGCAACTGACAATTATGAGGGGGTAGCAATAAAGGCAGCAGCTGGCATAAACAGCATGCAAAAGTTCAAAATAGTCTGAGACATATAGAGAAATGCATCATTTCAACATGCATAAGATGCAGCAAAGTCATAAGGGACTATGGCACATTCCATTGCCGAGTTTTTCTAATAGTAGCCAACCTGAACAATGTTTTGTGCACTTTAAAATAAGACAAGTCCCTCCAAGATGAAGCTGATCTCTCTCTACACATCCACACACACTGACCCAAGCAAAAGCAGTTTGTCAACGATCCTAAACACCACCCTTAATCAGGATTGGACTGGACCTGAAATCTACATTAGAGCCCTTATTTGTTTAATTTAGCTTCAGAGCTATAACATGACAAAATCCAGCATGATATGGAAATATTCCTTTGATAACCCAATAATAAGAAAACTTTGCAGCATCAACCCCAAATTGCAACTTTTACCGTGCTGACATTGCCAAGAAGTGACTCCAGCACTAAGAATGCGGAGTCCACACAACTCAACTTAAATTTGAAAACTGTACACCTTCAGGGCCCCAATTATCTCAATGTTCTCCATAAACACAAAGTCTCCTTCAGTTACTACTGCTCGATCACATATACTAGCACCTAACAACTTATCGCAGCCTCAAACAAATATGAAATGCGACTATTAAAGATAGCCACTCAATAAGAACAACAAATTTGCGTTTTGCTTTTGGAGAAATTTTCTAGAAGTCTCCACTTTGGGATGGAGAGGGTAATCTCAAAAAGAGGGAACACCGAAGCTGATAAAACGTCTCCAGCAGCCAAATTCGTAATAACACAGAGCTGAGGATTGAATAAAGAAAAGAAATTTCAGGGAAGTTATTAGTCATCAACTGCCAGATGGATTCATAAGTGAAACACTGCAATACATGACTGCAAAGTCAGGAAGGTTGATGCCTTGTGCACTTCCTTTTTGTCTTTGGTTGGACAACTAGCAACTGAGCAGTTACAGAGGTACATTCAACATCAAAAGATTTGGGGAAATACCCTAAAAACCAAAGCATCACTATTTCACCATCTAAGTCACATCAGGGACAGACTTCAGAGTTTCACATAACCAATATGGGAATGGCGTTTCCACAAGTAACGCAGTTGATAAAGTGCCGTGCCAGCATGAATGTTCTACTTCAAGAATGAAGCGCCCATTGCTTCTAAAACTATTTCCCCCAACATCTGGAATAAAACTGGGAAAGCAGAATCAAGTAGCTAGCATTCTTGTAAGCTAGCTGATTCTCCCGACAAAAAGCCATAACTGGGTCATAATTAGCCATATGCTATATCAAAATCCAACACAAACACCTAAGAACTCCTAATACAACACAGTTAAAGTATATCGTATTTTGACCTATAAGCAACTCGAGTGCTTCAGTAACAAAGCTACTAAACACAAGTAGATCAGACAAGAGGCCAATAATTTTTCTAAGCTTGCCTGTGGTATACTACACAACAAGCATATAATGCCAACTAGATATCATAAGGCAACAACTTTAACTAAATGAACAAATACACTTAAAAGGCACCCTATCCACAATATCCACAATCATTATGTATGATCTTCTGGGCAATTGTTAAATTTCATGTCTACTTCAACAAGCAGTGAATTTCCAAAACCAAACTACTCTAGAAAATGTCAATGAGAGAAATCGCATCAATTGAGGTCCCAAACTCAATTTACTAAATAAACAACATTTGCACAGGTCAACACGAAATCACCAAAAAACAAATCAAGACCCAAACCTCAAAAGATCACATCAATCAACATCAATCAGCTCAGAAGTCCAAACTACTTCAAGAATTTCGAAGCGAAATCAGCTTACATGGGAAGTAGAGCTTCGTGGACGGATCGAGCTTCAACCTCCGCCGAGCCGGGAGGAGCGATTTCGCGACGGACGACACCGAGCTCGACCCATGATGCCCCTCGGATCCCTCGACCTGCGGACCCCCCGGGTGGTGGTGACCACCCAGGTGCGACACCGAGGACGACGACGAGCTATTCGGGACGGGCCCCGCGTTCCGGAACGGCAGCTTGAAGAAGCCCCAGACTTTGCCCTGATCAGAACTCGGTTTCTGCTCCACCACTGCCATCACAGCCCTTCACGACCATATAAATCCCAAGAAAACCAAGAAACCCAGAAAAAACTCTGTGTGTCCCCCTCCCTCCCTCTCCCTCTCCCTCTCTCTGCCTCCGTCGATCCAAAACAGGGACACCCACCAACCAAAGTTGAATCTTTCGAGCTACCCAATGCGAATGATGCTATCTTTCTTCTGGGTCTGATTCGTTCAACCAAGAAAAGCACTCCTACTCGAAGACGGAAGGATTCAACTCAAGAGGGTCGAAGCAGAAATGGGGACAGAGGAGGAGGAAGACGGATCTGAGAGTGGGGATTGAGGCGGATTTAAGGACGTGGATTTCACGTCCGACCGACCCGAAGTACTTCTTGCTTCGTCGCTCATGGTTTTACCAAGTTCTTTTATCGTACTGTATGTGATTAGCGGGGGACAAGGTAAGGTTGTAGTAGGAGGAGTCACGGTCCCGGTTTGAAAACGACGTCGCTGCTGGGATCCACGCGGTTTTGCTTCCTTCCCTCTTTTTTAACTCTTAATTGTTGGGGGGGATTCTCACATTCAAAGTATATGCTCTCTGCGCTTTTGGTTTCAAAAGAGTTTGATTTTTCAATCGCCGTTCAAAAGGTTGGACTTCGTTTCGGACGCGAGACTTTGAACAGGGAGCAGAGACCGTTTACGTGTCGTTTCGGGATTAGATGGATGGTACGAGTCAGATTATCCGCACGTGTTCATGTTGGTAGTAATCCCGTGATCGAATTATATGCTCGAGTTTTCGCTTGAGGCTTATCTCGTGACGTGTACATAAGATGAATGGACAAGTTTTACACTGGAATTATGCTAAATGGAGGGTATGAAAGGAACAATGCTAGAAAGTTTTGTGTCAATATAAGTATAGTAATATAGTAATGATATGATAGATCGTTTTCATTTTTATTAACAAAACAATAGGGAAGTGCAACCGACACTAACAATCCCATCTGGAAGTTACCGTGGGGGTTTTACACTTATTAATCGAATATTATTCGGTTAAAGACGGTTTTTTTGCCTAATTCGCGACCTAAAGATCCGAGGTTACGAATCTCATTATCGTAATTTCACAGAGATATTAAAAGTCAATAAATCTCTCCGCACGAGATTATATCTCAGTTCGAGAGATTTAGAGGTACGTTCGAAACATGGAACTCATGATCTTGTAAAAAGCGAGTAACCCATTTGACACGACATTTACTGCGTCAAATTTCACTTTTTGGATCGGTTCTGCTCACATCTAAAACAATGGTCATCTTTGGAGTCCCATCAGGAGGGACAAAACCAGGGGTGGTGGAAAATGAGGGCAACTTTTCCAGGGAGCCGTTGACGTGGGTGCGGTTGACTTTTTGGGCGGCGTGAAGTGGCGTAGGTTGATGTCGTTTTTGGTGGCGTGCGATTGGAGTTCTAATTTTTGTTATTTGTTTTATTGTTTTTGGGTGATGGGATGGAGTGGGATTAGTTGATTGTTCAATTGATTTGGTTTTTCAAATGAGGCGTGGAGTTAGATTTGAATGTGAACGCAAGAAAATTTGGTGATAGGGCAAGAAGACATCACTATTTTCTTGAAGACATCTTTGACTCTTTTTGCCATTATCCCAAAAATATATATAAAAAAAGATAGAGAAGTTGCCTCGTTTTGGGGTTTCATAAGGACCACGAGCATTGCTCTATATATGGTGTGTATTTTGGGGATTGGATTACCTTGACGAACTAGTATTTCTCTTTAAAAAAATTGGAAGCAAAAATTGTAATTTGACACTATAAATATGATGATTTGAAGACTCTCCAGTCTCTGACCTCCCTATTGATTGAATATTTAAATATTAAATCACATATTTTATCTAATAATTCAAGCTTTTAGAGCAATTGGTATTTGAGCAAAAGGTCTTGAGTTTGAATAATTTCAGACGTCTATTTGCCTCATCAATTAAATATCTTCATGCTTAGTACTAAACAGAAAAACCAGACTAAGAGTGAAGGGAAGTGATGAAATATTTAAATATTAAACCACGCATTTATCTAATAACTTAAATTTTTATAACAGTTATATGCTTTGAAAAGTTAATTGAAACGTAATATGTCTTAATAAAACTTGTAAAGTGAAGTCTAGCTGACATGTATATGTAAGTGTTATTTCATACAATAAGATCTACCATGAATTAACTTTAGATGGATCAATCTAGTACGCAACCTTGCAGGGTTGAGAAAAATACTACAAAATGAGGAAAGCACTTGAAAATTTGCCCAAATATTTGTATGTAAAGCTAACAATGGGATAGATGAGTGCTAATGTTGTCATTGTTTTTATTGTTATTACAATTATTATTGTCATAATCATCATCTTAATAAATTAAAATTGGTGGGTTGACAACTGATTAACCAAACACTAGGAGCGTAGCTTCCTATTCTACTCTACCTTCACCTACTCCTACTTTCTACTCCCCTTTTAATAAATTAGAAAACATTTTTTCAATAGATTAACTCAATGTACATTGACTCATTGATGGGGGCACGAAGTATGTTGGGAATGATAAGTTGTTGGCACCTAAATTTTGACTAATCATTTAGTGATTAACTGCATAGAAAATGAGAGATTAAATTGTAACCCCTAAACAAAAATATCAAAATCACATAGCATATAGTTTAGGATCATATAGTTTAATTGCATTCAACATCGGACCGGCGGCAGTGAGTAAGTTGAAAATTCATTGCATAAATCAAGCTCGAGTACCGAACAAAGCTCGTCTCGCTCATAAGACGGGGGCCGAAAATCACAAGTCTAAAAGGCCTTGATTGTCGTAATTTGAGCTTAAATCAACCCATCAAGCTTAATTAGAGAAAAGCCCAAATTAATTCGGCCCATTTGGAATTAAATAAAAATCAAAGGATAAAAGCCCAAGCCTCAGCCCATTAGGACTAGGAAGCCCGGCCAATTAACTTAGGGTTGCGATATAAATATGTGATTATACCCCTCAATCAAGGGGGCTCTGATAATTTCCAGAACGCAATTCCTGAGAACACGAGAGACACACGTGAGAAAAGAAAAAACAATTGAGAGAAATCGGCGAAGCAAAGTTCGGTTTCATTGCTGTCCTTAAAGCAAGATGTTGTTTTTAGCGAAGTAAGCCGCACGTCTTCAAAGCATCCTCAGCAGCTCTAGGAAATCCTAGCAAGTCCGGAGGTTCTAGCAAGTCTTCTATTGTGTTTCAACGATTTTTTGCCATGTCTAGAGAGCCCTTTATCAAGTCCAGGGGTTGTCACGTATCTTCCCGTGGCGTTCCTGTTCGTGCTAGCGCGTTTCCGATGGCCTCACTCCTACCCAGCAGTAATCTTGGCAAAAGTGCAGCATCTCGGGTGTCTTTCCGGCACAAGATCAGCAACGAGAGAGTCTCTGACATCATCAGCGAGCAAGAGCACTGTTGACGCGTTCTGAAGAATTAATGGGAGGGAAACAGGGAGTGACGGTAATCCCATCTTCATCCACGCCTCTACTTCCTTGATAATATCAACACATGTAAAGGAAGGAAGACAAACGACAAAGAAAAATCGTTTGTGGGAGGCGAAGAAGTCAAGTTCCTGCACGTACGTCCGCGTTTGGCCACTGTACTCACCAAATTCCCAGAGTCGTCCCTGTGTTGCTGCTTGCTCACCAGATTAGCTTGACCATCAGCCCTGCCCGTGAGCCCCGAGCCTAGCTGAGCCACTCCTGACCGCCGTCACGCCCGCCGTCGCCGTTGCCGCCACCGTCGATCCGTCGGCCACCGTCCCGATCCGCGATCCCGATCCGCCGCAAATTCAAATTTGGAAAGAAATCCGCAAATCAGGTAAAAATCTCTATCCGGTATATTTTCAAAATATTTAAATTCTTAGTTTGAATATTTTGAATATTCCGTGAATATTACGTGATTGACTAGATACCTTAGGATAATGCTTGCTTTGTCCGCAATGTTCTAAAATACTCAAAATTAGGAATTTTTCCTAATTTGGCAACGTATCTGGACGACTATCCGACCTTATCCCTAAGGTACGATACGCGGCGATACGAGAAATCGTTATCTTATCCATAATCACTTGGATACGATAATAGATTTTATTCGCTTTCCAAATTTGAACAATCAACTTTCTGTCGATATCTATAACCCTATAGATATGACAGTTAGTTTGATTTCTTTTTCTAATCCAAATTTGATAAGAAGAATCTTGCTGGTTGCGTAGATTGTTTGAGTGCGGTTGTTATCTTTATTTGATTGTTTTCTTTTTTAAATAAAGAAAATCCAAAAATATGTTAGTTAGAATTTAAATTAAAAAATTTGCATGCTTAAAGAATCATAAATATATCCAAGAGAGTAAGATAATTATTTGATTTAAATTGGGATTTAGAGTAGCATATTTCCTAGTTTAAATTAGAAATTGTTTTAATCTTTGTGGATTATTTAGGATATTTAGATTTCGAATTTCCATGAAAATCCCAAAAAAATGAGTCACTTTAGGACAGATTAAGATAGATTGCATGTTAATTTAGACATTTTTTTATTCCGAATTTTATGAGAAAAATACAAAAAATAAATCATTTGTCCGTCATTAGAATTAGGTCACGTCGTCGCATGACATATAGTTCGCATGCTAGGTTGCATTAATCGCATGTCATTTTTTGCACGTCATTGTATATAGGTTAGTTTGCATTTTAATAAAGCGCAAACCCTAAAGAATACCTCGAGTGCCTTGTTTTGTTAATTAGAAATCATATTAGGATTGTCTGTGTGATTTTCTACTAACAATGCAGATGCTTGCGTTGCATTAAGGTACGTCATTTTCCTAATCTTGCAATCTATTTATTGCTTTCTTGGGTGTTAAATTGGTGGTTTGCGCACCCGCATGAACACCTCACATGTTAGTGATTAGGTAATAAAATGGATCCAGACTGCTTGCATAAATATTTTTTGAAAAGAAAAGGTACCGAAAGGGCGTTAGATTAGATCTAGCGTAATTAAGTTCTCGAGCTTAGAATCTCTAGTTCGTAGGAATAAAACATATCTCCCTATGTTTTATTTAGGTTTCTAATCGACCTATCATAAATAGATTAGTGGCGACTCCAAGCATGAAAACTTTTGCATGATAAAAACTTAAACCCTTAGTTGCGAATTGGTAGGGCTTGGGAGGGCCCGAGTTAGGATTAGTCTTAATAATCCATTAGCCTGAGAAATTTAGGTCGCGACATAAGTTATTGCCAAATACCAAATACGAATTCATTGAATATATATTTTGTCATCTCTATGTGTTTATTAAAAGATTATTCATGATACATCTTCTAACCTTAGAAAAGAATTATAGAAATAATTGTATGTATAACTATTCT